ATTCAAAATTGTCAAATCAGAGGCTATACAAAGATCCAACAGTAAATCTCCAAAGTTGTTTTTCACTGTTAGATCTTGGGAAGCTCTCTAAGAAATTCGTAATTTATTGTTTTGGGTTGTCTGGACTGTTGGTAGCCAAACTTTTTCAACATAGATTTCTTTTAATTTTGACTTAAGCAGAGTATTGTCATCAGCATAACCAGTTTTAGTTATCTCCTGTAATTTATTTACAAATGTTGCCTATGTATTACCTTTGATTTTGGTTTCTGAGATGTAAGCACAATGTACTAAGTGACTGCAATTGCTGGTGTTGTTTTCAATTCTTTTCTTGTATTTAAATAATTGTGCACATATTTCAGTAATAACAGGATAACTTCCAAGTTCAGCTCTAGAAGCAATATTACTTGAACGCCTGTGCACTCCTAATACACTCTTACAGAACTTAACGTGAAGTTGCTCAAATTGTGATCTGTCATTAAAGAGATTATTAACAAATCTTTTTGTATCAATTTGATCATCCTGTTTAGATTTGTAAATCTTGAAGGTAAAAGCCCCCAAATTTCTGAGCCATACATTAAGATCGGTAAGACTGTACTTTTAAAAAGCTGTAAAGCATTACTAATAATTATATCATTTCCATACCTTATATTTAGCTTCTCTGTATTGTAACCATTTCTATTAAATATAATTGATTTTGTTTTCTTTGTAGTCCCCATGTGTTTGCATACCTATGTAGACAATTCATAGAATTTTGCAGTCCATCTTTACTTTGTGATATAAGGATGATATCATCTGCATATAACAGACATGGAATTGGTGTGTTATGTAATTGTGGTGGGAGATAGTTTTCTTTATTCAACTCGTTACATGTAATTAGGTCATTAATGTAGATATTAAAGTGTGTAGGACTCAGTGGACAGCCTTGTTTTACACCGTTTTCCAGCTTGAATGTCGGGGTTATTTTATCTTCAAGTTTGACTGTACATTTCTTGTTCAGATACATATGTTTTATGACATTGTAGACATTGCCATTGATATTGTTGGTTTGTATTTTATACAGTAGACCAGTGTTCCACACAGTATCGAAGCATTTCCTGAGGTCAATAAAACTGCAGTAAAGTTTCCTTTTCTGTGCTTGATATTTTTTTATTATCGTGTGCAGGGTTAATATGTGGTCAGTTGTACGATGTTTTTTTCTGAAACCACCTTGGTTTGGGTGAATGATGTTGTTCTCATCTAGAAACTGGATTTAGTCTATTATTAATTAAATAGTTTTCCAATGCTGCTACATAGTGATATTCCCCTATAGTTATTGGTGTCATGTTTATCTTCTTGTTTATGCATATTATGTACATTATTTTTTTGCTAACAAGATGCTCAAATTTCTAAACATAGTGTATTTTTTGAAGCAGCTGGTTTATGCATTTCACTTTAATTGAATGTTCTTGTATAATAAAACAGTTATAGATGTGTTTCACCACATTATTTATAATGTTTTCATTATTATTATTTAAAATATTAATTAATAACTGTTCATTGTTTTTGTTGTCATGAATAATGTTGTATTTTTTGAACAAACTTTCTCTTTTTTAGCGTATAATTGACATGAAAGCAAAAAGTGTTGCTCATTTTTAATTTCTTTAAAGGGCGGTAAGGCCCACAATCCAATGCGCTCCTGAGGTTTGACCTGGGTGCGTCTTGCAATAATCATGCACCGCTGGTGACTCCTTCAATACCTTCCTATTACTGAAAAAAATACCTAATCAAAGCTTGGTAGCATCTCTGTTTGTACTCATTGATCAGCAACAGTCGCCATCTTTGTTTGACCCATATATCTCGCACATGCGTGGTGCGACAGCTACCGCTCTTTAATTTCACAAACTGAACATTTTCTATCAGAGATTGGTACATTATTGTACCTTCCCATTTCAATTTTTGACTCCTGTGTGCGAAGCACAAAAGGGAGTCTTTGCAGTTACCCTGTCTGTATGTATGTATGTATGTATGTATGTATGTC